CGAAAAATAGTATAAGATTCTCTTGTTGAGGCACTTTTACACTGAATGAAATTAAATGTACTCCTGCTTTTCCAGGAGATTCATTCAAACCTAGTAACACTTCATATGCTCGTCTCTCTGTCTGATTGTATCTATGATACGGTTGTAGAGACGAAAGATGAGCATGTATTTACTGGAATCTCAGAAATGTCACAACGCTGATTCCTTCTTAATTCGCTTCGAAAGGAAAAGTCAACAGGAATTTATCAAGAAACCATCTATTTCGGTGCCCTACTTCAATATCTTTCAAACGACTCTCGTGGTGGGCACTCAGCCTGAATTGGCAAGGAGAGATGGGCGAGGTCAATGTACCCCCTTTCTGGGCTGCACAATCTGCCACTCTCTTTCTCTAACCGACTATAGGCACCGAGCAACCCGTGGGCAAAAGGGATACATTGTCAGAAGGCTTGTGGTAATTGGTTGTGGGCACCATCCGGCGACGGACGATAAGGCCGTCAGTGCTTAATTTCACTTTGCCACCGAGTCGTTCGCAGGTGGCTTGACGGCCTAAACTACCATTTTGTGTCATGTCTACTGTCCGGCTGGCTTGTCGGGTGTTGTACCTGTGTTGGGCTAATCGCTTAATCCACGGCGGGGATTAAATGAGCCCTGTTCCTCGTTGGTAATCGAGTGCCCAGTCTACCCTCGACCGGGCCTCCATTACGCGGCAGTCCAGTCCGTAAAGGGCGAGGTGATGGAGCAAGGATTTGAGCGAAAATCTACCGAATTTCCGACAGGAGGTGGCTGGACGGGCCAACACACAGTCGGGGCCAGGGAACCGCAAAGCTGAAAGTGATTTTTTAGTCCACTTTCGAAATCACGAAACCTCAGGATTAGCCTCAGCAGTTGAAGCTCCTCTTCACTCCGAAGGGGGGACGACGCGAATATCGTGCGATATCAGTCACTAACGTAGAATCCATTAGCGGCAAGCCCAGCGTTCGAGACCCCTCAAAAGAGGTGACACTTGCAGACCAAGTAAATAGCATGTCAGATTACCCTAAACAAGTAAAGGCTACCGTTATGAGATAATCATGGACCGAGACCAATTAGACCCTAGGACTTACGCAC